GAATCCAGAAGCAGCTGGGCATATAACTCTTTTGAGATGATGAACTGCTTTGGCAAGGGTGGACACGCCCCTCCAATAAATGGAGCAATCACAACCATCTCCAACAGATGGAGTTGCTTGTTTCTGATAACACATTGCTCATATTCTGGTTGAGAGTCACACAGTTCAGATCCAAGTCCCTTTCTTGGCTAGGCACTGAGAAAGAATGAACCTGCTGTGTATCATCTATCCCAGAAAAGGAGGCAGAAAGTTCTCTGTTTTCAGCATGTTTAGAACAATGCAGTCTAAACCACCTCATAACCTCACTTATTTCACTCCTGTTGAACAGGAGGGCATGAGAGACTGGGAACCCTGGGACCATGCATGAGGAGATACTGAGAGTGCATGAGGAGCTGCTCACCACTGTCCTTTACAATTTTCCATTGAAGTAGGAATGGGACACTGATGCACACTTCCCTTGTTCACCCCTTCCCCGAAAGTCACAGGAAGGTCAACATCACTTAGTCGTCACTGTTATCAAAGGCTGCTGACCCATCTAATACAAATGGACACTAGACCAATATCCAGCATCAGAACAAAATTGTCAACCAAAGACACTAATGCAAGCTCTGTTTTGTTCCCAGATCACATTGCTAGGGAGCATACTAGGAGAATACCAGGGGGATAACAGAGTCGCTCCGCTTTTCTGAATGACTTGTGCTTGGTCTAGGATTTCAACTGGATTTAGTCACCGTGCTAGTAGCATTCTAGCCCACTGAAAAATGCGAACTGTTAACCAATACAAAACATGGCGCTGAGCTCTGAGCACTGCTACCGGTATACAATTATTGATTATATCTTATTAGCAAAATGTCAGAGAATATCACATTCCCTTTACTGAAAGGAAACTTCATTAACAGTTGGGTGAAAAGTGCCAATCCATTTCCAAATAAGTATATGTACCGTACTTCATGGCTTCAACATTATTGATAACTGTGCAATATTTTGATTTATACTTTGAAAGAGTGATGCAAATAATAAATCAGGAACTAATTTTCAGCTGGTGTAAGTTTCATATATATATATCCTTCAAATCCCCTTTACAGGCCCAGAATGATGTAAATCTACCTTTGTGTGTATTAGAATCAAGTTCTCAATACACAGAAAGACATAACCAAGGGTTTCAGCAAAATGTGGCGTTCTTGCATACATATTTGTGTTTGTGTGTATGCTCAATATATGTGGAATGTAGTACATCTTCCCATGTTTGTCATACATGTTCTGGTTTTAGTGGCGGTTAGTATCAAAAGTAGTACAATAAAACCTACTGTGCAATCTAATAAATTTACCAAAAACATTTACATCAGCACAAACTAGCCCATACAAATAATTTTCAAAGTTTTTTCCTATAGAGAGTATCTGGGACTTTACCTATGGCTGCAGCCTATGTGCCTGGCACATATATAAATATACATACACTAAAAAATTTACCTGGCATGCCCAGATCCTTCAGTGAAGGTGGCTGGCAGTGTGAGGGGTACAGGATCTGGGGAGGAGGCAGGGCAGGAGACCGGGGACATGCAAGAGTGAGGGTTGGGGGCTGAGTAGGGGCTCAGGGCAGGGGGTCCCATCTGACAGGGCTTTCTCTCCCTGCATGGCTGGCAGTGCCTTTTCTCCCCCCTTCCCACAGTCCTCCTGGCTGGCAAGGTCCTTCTTTCTCCCCTGAGGACCCTTGGTCAGCAGTGGCCTTTTTTCTCCCCCACACCCGCAGCTGGCAGAGACCTTCTTTCTCCCCCAAGCTCTCCTTGGCTCCAGGGGCCTTCTCTCTCACCACAGTCTCCCTGATTGGCAGGGGCCTTTTCTCTTGCCCCAGTCCCTCCACCAGCAGGAGCCTTCTCTCTCCCTCCTGCCCCCCCAGCCAGCATGGTCCTTCTCTCCTTCCCCAGCCACCCTGGCTGGCAAAGCCCCTTTCTCCTCCCTGCCCCATGCTGTAGCCAAGGAGTGGGGGTAGGGATTTGGGGTAAGGAGGCTACTTACCCAGTCTGGGGGCAGGCAAGAAGGCAAGCCCCAGCCTCGGCTCACCACTCTCTTGGTGGTGTGGTTGTCCCCAGTGGCCACTCTGCAGCATTGCATTCCCTCAATCAGCAGCCCTCTCCCTTTCCATCATCTGGAAACAGTCCCATCCCCAGCATTTCCCATATTCCTGGAAAAACCAAACTCTGACCTTGCTTTAGGTAAGGGTAAGAGGAAGCTGCACACCAAATTTAGTAGCCCTAGCTCTTACTGTTTAGGAGGAGTTCTTGAACAAACAGACAATAGGAGTTAGTGGGATTTTTAGAAGTGCTTTGTCATGTAGGTTCCTAGCTCCCATGGATTTACAAGGGGGTAAAAGGTGCCTCAATGCTGTTGAAAATCCAACTCTCTGTCCCTTAATTTATTCATATGTAAAATGAGATATGGTTGCTACCCACCTTTGTAGAGCATTTTGAGGTCTATAGAAAGAAGTGCTGTGTAAGTGCCAATTATTGCTATTGTAACATTACAAGTGCCTGCATGTTACTGTAGGGGCTGAATTCAGGCCCAGTAAAGTAAATGGCAGCTATTCTACTGACTTCAGTGGGTGTTAGCTGGATAAAAGCAGACCTTTAGTTTTCAATGATCCTGCAGCTCTTATGCTCACAGAACTCTGGTAGTGCTAAAAGTACAACACATACAATATAGAGAGTGTGCTAAACAACAGGTACCCAGTGCTCAGCCTCACAAGGCCTAGCGTTTATGAACCTAGAAAATCAAAGGAACAACAGTGCAATTTGCAGAACCTGAGTTAGGTGCCTAGGGCCCCAAGGCAATGAACGGGGAGTGCTGGGTGCCTGGGAATTTGGACCACAAAACAGCATAGCAGATGGGGAGCTGCCTAAAATAGCCAATGGGAGATGCTGATGAGAGAGGTGTCTTCAAAGTCCCATCCCTCTCACAGAGGTTGCTGCCTGAATGCAGACTGCAAGGAAACACCTGTCTCTGGTAGCGAGCCACATCTGGCATCCGCTCTCGTGGAGTCAGGTGGCTGAGGCACAGAAATTGTTTTTGTGAGAATGAATTTGGCACTTGCCTCGCTCCACATGACACAGCTGGAGGAGGAGGTGCCCGCTTGGCTAGAGCATTCACGTAGAATTTAGAGGCTCAGGTTCAATTCCTCCTGCAATGCAGGGTAGGGGGAATGATTTGAAGAGGGGCTGTTAGCATCTCAGGAGGGTGCTGTAGCCGTTGATTGATGGGATATTCTGATGTGGGGCTCTCATAATCTCTCCTGTTGCAGCTGTTCCATTTAGGGGAAACATGTCAGTGGGCAAGAGAGAATGACTTCATAGCCTGATGATTCGAGCACCCTCTTATAAGGTGTCCCCCTGAACCACCACTATCTGCTCCTCCAGCCGGATCTTGAATGGGCCTTACCCTGATAGGTGGCCGCTGGTTTGTGGATCACACTAGAGCTTAGGGAGATGGGAGTCTGGACACCCTGAGTGAGGCAGCAGTGCAGAGGCTAGAAGCAGAATCACAGATGCCTAGGGAATGTTGACAGCATAAATGTAGGTGCTGAGTGAATTTAGACATCTATAGGGTTAGGAGGCAGGAGTTCTGTGGATCACAGAGGAACCTAAGTACGTCTATGGGTCTGGCCACAATGGCCTGCAATCCAGTTTTTAGTGAAAGCTTTCCCCCCCCTCTGTCTGCCCCTCACTTTTTAAAAAAGAATACTGTGAATTTCCACTTCATTTGGACTATCAGTTTTTTTTATCAGCTTTCCACAATGCACCCCATTAACTCCACTCCCAAGTTGTGGCTCCCATTTGGCATGACAGTGGCTTATCCCTCTCTCAGTAAGGCAGCACAGTGGCAGGAGGTATCCCCTCTTCCCTCCACCAAGAACAGGGACTGTTGCAGTGACATCTCATCTTCTCTAGACAGCAAGGCTACGTCTACACTGGCCCCTTTTCCGGAAGGGGCATGTAAATTTCACTAGTCGTCGTAGGGAAATCCGCGGGGGATTTAAATATCCCCTGCGGCATTTAAATAAAAATGTCCGCCGCTTTTTTCCGGCTTTTAAAAAAGCCGGAAAAGAGCGTCTACACTGGCCCCGATCCTCCGGAAAAAGTGCCCTTTTCCGGAGGCTCTTATTCCTACTTCTGCTTCTAGCCTCTGCACTGCTGCGTCACTCAGGGTGTCCAGACTCCCATCTCCCTAAGCTTTTTTAAAAGCCGGAAAAAAGCGGCGGACATTTTTATTTAAATGCCGCAGGGGATATTTAAATCCCCCGCGGATTTCCCTACGACGACTAGTGAAATTTACATGCCCCTTCCGGAAAAGGGGCCAGTGTAGACGTAGCCCAAGGGGGACAGCAGGGTGAGTCACCCAATGCTTTCTTTATAAGTTGGGGTGTGAGGTTCTGCTTGGATGAACCCACTGTGCTTTTCTTGCTACACACAGAGTTTTCTGATGAAGGGGTGCTAGCAGAGCCCCACAGTGCAATGGCTCTGAGAATTAACCAAGCATTAAGATGAATGAACCAAATCACACATTTTAGAGCTGTGGTTGCAGGCTGGTTGCAGAATCAGGCAGATAACACTGCATTAGAGACCCTCATTTTGTTCAAGTTTTCAAGCTTTTCTTCACAACCACAAGGAATCATAAGCTAATTAAAAATTAAAAATTAGATTCTGGTGTAACCCTCTGATTTCAGGAACCAGGGCCCTAAGCAGGCATTTATAGCGCACTAACAAGTGAGGCCCGTCGTTGACCGGGACAAGTCATTTTGCAAACAAACTCTTCAAAATATAAAGTAGTATGCCTTGGTCTGACCCTGCCAAAGTTAAATTAAGTAAAGTGAGGCTCATCAGCTTCCCTTGATATTTATGAGTTATCCAGTTGTAGGATGATTTATTTCTGTGGTGCTATACAGGTATATTGTATACAAACCAAACACAATTTACTCTGCTTGATAATAAAATAAATTTATATTTCTTTTTAATAGATGGACAAAAACAGAGCCAAAACTAGACAATATTTTCCTGAATGACCTGGGCACTATTTAATACAGTACTGATGCAATTTAAACATAGACATCTATAGTATGGTGCTTGTTTGATTTGTTAGGTACTGTACAGAGTTTTAATATAATATTTCTGACACAGACAAAAATATACATTTTATATCAATAGCCACAAATACTACCCTGTTAAATAGCTGACTTACAATAACTTACTGCCTAATTACACATTGTACTAATTCAAATGACCTTAAAGGGTAAAAGGCAAAATAAATGACCATTTTATTTCTATGATATTTATATTTTAAACCCTAAAATATTGTCCTATATGAAAATAAAAGGCTAAATTTGTTGCCGTACTTGATTCACTTGAAGTTTACATTCAGTTCAGGTTCACATAAGATTATTTTATTTATAATACACATATCATCCTATGTGGACAGTTAAAGACGTAATAATAGTTCATAGATTATTTGCATTCATTTTTGATATCATGGCTATGCAATAAGCTTGATGTTATGAACAAATCTCATGCAGAAAATTCTACAGATCTACCAAACAAGCATGTTTTCCATGGTAATTTTAAACGTATGGAAATAAAGCATACAATCATGATAAAAATACTTTATCCACAATGGTGGGCCTAGAAATAATGATCTCAATGTCTGAAAATGGACTTGTTCCATAATTTTGCCCTGTTGTTTGTATAGAGGAATTAGCACTATTGTCTAAAAAATGGTAAGCTAGGAAAGAAACATCAAAAGATATATGTCAAAACAAAGTTGGCTGATGAACCATTTGGCAGTCATATTTTGAAGAACTATATCCTATTGTCATTTTGCATGTGAAAATCTAGTTTTTTTCCTTTGAAAAAGTCAAGGTTAGGGTATGGCCCTTATTTTTATTCACATCTTTGTTCTCTAATGCTAGATAAACTCAACTAAAGCAAGAAGACTTGGGCTCATCTAAGTTTATAGTGCTGCAGTGGTGCAACTGTAGCGCTTAGTGAAGAAGCTATCTGTGCTGATGAGAGAGCTTCTCCTATCGGCATTAGGTACTCCAGCTCCCTGAAAGGCAGTAGCTATGTCCCACAATGGGAGAAGCCCTCCTGTCTACATAGTATTATCTACACTGGGGGTTAGGGTGGTGTACTATGTCGCTCGGGTGGGGATTTTCCACAACTCTGAGTGATATAGTTATACCTGCCAAAGTTTCTAGGATGAATTAAGTCTTGCAAACAGGCATTATGCTGGGTTGTCTGTGAGGACCTTGGAATCTTCCAGTACTTGAAGGAGAGCATCAGTACAGTTCCGCTGCAATTTTTATGACTCCCCTCTAGGCAAGCATATAGATTTGGTTTGTAGATTGGCAGAGTTGTGGAGCCAGTGCCCACATCCCAGACTCTTCTGGTCCCTCTGCTGTGATTGTGATGCCATGGAATAAAGCTACTCAAAGAGCAACAGATATGGAACTTCCATTTAGAATTGGTTGGGAAAACTTGGATGGAACCATTTTCCACCAGCAAATATAATTCAGTTGAAACTGAAATACATTTGTATTAGTTTCACTGACATTTCACTTAGGAGATAAACCAGAAATATTTTTTTGATAATGTGGAACCTTTCTTTTTCCCTATTTTTGGAATGAAAGATTTTGATTTAGAAACATTTCATTTTGAATTTTTAAAATTCTGTATTATAACATGTAATTTGAAAAGTCAAAAGTGAAATAATGATTGTTTCTTAGCCAAATGTTTCATTCAATCCAAACTTTTTTTGGGTCACTTCCTTTAGCTGAGAATGTAAAAGTTTCTGGGTTTCACTCCAAATTGAAACTAAATCATTTTTCAAAATCTCAGATCCTTTGTGAAATGGAATTTTCCATCATCTGCTCAGCCAGCCCCTCAGTACAGCCTCATGGCATTCTTCCCCCATGAACAAAAGGTCTGCAGTCATCCTACTGCATTCAAGCCTTCCAAGTCCATGGAAGGTGTTAGGATTTAGCCTTAAGGGTGAGATTATGGCTTCCCCTATACAAAGCCAAAGTATCAAGGCTTTGCATAGCTCATTTACAAATGGTTGCCAGATGGAGTCCTCAAATTCAACTTGGAACTAGGGCCCAGGCCACCTGCATTATGGCTGCTAGTACAAGCATGGTTCACTGTGTCATCTTTGAATTAGCAGATCTAAACTGGGCATACACCCACTGGACAAAATCCAGCAACTTTCCTGTCCTTTCTCTTCTCCTTTCCCTTCCGCATGGCCTAATGGAGCTCCCTACGTGATCTGAATCTCCTCTTCTACTCACTCACACAGTAGAAACTTGGCATTTTTGCTGTATATAGGACCATGTGTGCATTTGAAGGAGATCCTAATTTGAATCTACAGTCCTTAGAGCATGACTTAAAAAAATACAATACTGCAGTTCATATGGTGCACATTCAGAGCTGAGATGCAGTGTTATTTTTGAAATAAGACTTTTGGAAAAACATTAATATTTCCAAACTGAATTGTATGTACATACACAATATACATATAGCATTAAAACTCCACAAAAGGAGCAAAGTAATGTAAGGATCAACCTTGTGACAGTTACATTGACACTGAATGCAAAAGTTGATGGCTTCTTCCTTTAGCAGCAAAACTTATTCTTACATTTTTTTTGTTCTCTGCTATAATTCATAGTTTCATGAATGCTAGGCTATTTCTACACAGCAGTGTTATTTCAGAATAACTGACATTATTCCAAAATAACAAAGTAAGAAACTATCACCAGTAATCAACACAGAAAGAAATATGAATTTCAGTTTTACACTTTTCTGTGATCTGTTAATTTTTCAAGGTTCATTGGAGTGCTACTGCAGTATAACTTTTCATTGTAGAGCAATTTAGTTGTTAGGCCTCCCACTGGGAAAAGACTGTAACAATGGAAACAGACACAGACATCTAAGATATGGTCAAGTGACTGCAATTTTTATTTATTCTTAGGTTGCAGTGTCAGGTGATTGAGCAGTCTGGTGCTGCCTTTTATGGGTGATACCCCACCTGCTGACCAATCCTAGAGTTCCAAAGAGGCACTGGGATAGACCAGTTATTGCCCTCCCAACAAAGGTGGATTCCATTTGGCTGTTAAACATCACTGTGCAATCTGTTGGGTGTGTGGATGAGCCTTTCCTATTGGTTGCTCTGCAATTTGGTGCCAGCCTTGATTGGGTTGGAAATTTGGATTTCAACAAGGTGAAATTTTCCACATGTCCACTTTCCACAGAAAATTTAGACTTTTCATAGCACAGCCAAAACAAAATAGATAGCATTTTTTATTTCAAAATGTTTTGTTTTTTTGATGAAAAGTAAAAGCTTTCTACAAAGTTCCATCCAGGTCTCTTGAGTCTCCCTACTATTCATGGACTGTTACATTTCCACATCAATAGACTGTTTATGTCCCAAATTCATTTTGACACTGATCAAAGAAATTGTTTATTTTTTCACAACTGCAAAACTCTATTTACTTTTACAAAGCATAAATTCCTATTACTTTACCCAGAGCTTAGTTTTTCAACTCAATTTATTGCTTTTTTTTTATTAATAAGTTTTTTATCCTCTATTGGTGACAGCCACTCAGTGATAGAAAGGAAGGGCATAAATAGTAATATAATTTATTTAAGGTTATCTTGCATACTGTATAAATATGATAACACCACTTTTAAATAGTGATATCTTTTTTAACCTTTTCTACGTATAATACATTTAACCCTCCTACAAGGAACTTATTATTAATCACACCTTTAATTACTTTAGTAGAAATAATAAAATACTGAACCTCTTTTTATGATATTTGTTATAAGAAAAAGCAAGAAAGGTTGTTAATTATTACTTCCTATTCAAGAAGCCTGATAATTAGCAATGAATCACAGTAGTGACCAGGTATTTTTCAAATAGTGCCAATAAAATGTTGACTGCTCATTATTTTAGATTGACCATATTATAATCTCATAGATGACTGAATATAAAATGTCAAGTATCTTTATTTACTGACTGATCTAAATATTTTCCCACTGTTTTCTCTTCTCTTCTTTTATTTTTGTTGTATATAATTATTAAATTCTGTAGTACCAAGGTCTCTTTGAGTGGGTGGGGATATGAGGAATTTATCCTTTGATATTTCACTACCCAATAGCAACAAACATGATAATAAAATATAACAGTTTATTTCACAGGGTCCCACTTTCATAGAAGTGATGTAAAGAATTGTGCAGTGGCATTTCATTCCTGGTCCTTGTTTTCCTTCTGCTAAAATGCCTCTTACCATTCTTCCTGGGATACCCCATTGCACTGTATTTTATCTGAAAGCAGAATTTCATTTTGTGTTGGTTACTAAGTTATCTTCAGCACTGGATAGCTCTGGACTTGAATCAATGTCACTGAAGGCTTCTTTATTTGTGAAAGTTGAGGTCAAAGTCAGACTGTGCCTAGGATTCACAGGTGCAAGCTCATTTAATATAATATTGTCACTTTTTACAAGAGTTGTTTTATCCATGTTTTCTTGACTGTACCTTGCAACAACAGCGTCAAGGAAGTCTAATTTTGGTGGCAAAGAACCACTTTCAAATAAATATTTTGCTAGGTAGGAAATTGCAATATTAGTAAAGAAGGAGGTGAGCATAGCAAGTGTTTTAAATGGGAATCGTTGGATGTATATATTATTTTTATCTGCATAGTAGCCAGGATAGAAGATCAAGGGCTGTAGGTAGAGATATGGTTCTCCTCCAGTAATTCTGAGAACAAGACCAAACAAATAGCCTGCAATGGCACCATAAGTGTTGGTTCCTTTGATAAACAACACACATAAGAGTTGAGGAAAGATGATGATGTAAACAAGATCAGAACTGAGATACCAGAGTCCATAAACTGACTTAGCTAGGAGTGCCATTGCTGTGGCTGATGCTCCGAAGAGGAAAATAGTGATTCGCATGACCCACACTATTTCCCTGTCTGTGGCCTAAAAAAAGAAAAGAAAAAAGTGTTAGTTTTCTAGTAATACATGTATGACTTTTATTATGACTAGATTATACATAAGACACTGAAAAATCAGAGGATTTTGCATGATTCATACGTCAGATATTGTGCAAGATTTACCAAGATCCATAGCATGTAAGAAGAAACAAATTCAGGGACTTGGCATTCACTCTGAAATTCTTGCAGCTTTAGGGAGAAATAATTTAACATAGTGCACAAACAAAAAACCAAGTGGAATGACAACTGAAGTTTAAAAATAAACCTATCATGAAACAATTTGTAGATGTGAGAACATATCACTTCTTCGTTTACTCTGTCAGGCTTTGAAGCTATAGTTCGTTCTGCTCAGTTTCAGTCTGTCAAATGATTTCTAAGCATTTTTATGTTAATCAAAGTTGTGAAAATCAGTATCTCTTATGTTAATGATGTAATAAAATTTGTATTGACTATAATAATTAGGAATTGTTCAGGTATATTGCAACATTATGAATAGAGCTAAATACAGTTTCACCAGATGTTACTTCTTCATCTGTCTATTTAATTACAATTCCCAGGATTTCTATGAATTTTCATTTTCTTCATTTAATATTCTGTAATAAGAGAAATGTTACATTTTATTTTACTGTAGACAGAAACAAATGGAGAATATTTCAGTGTCACTTTGAAAGTCTCCCCAAAACCTTCCTGTTAAAAACAATTGAAATTTAATCTTACATTTTGTCGAAATGAAAGTTGGTAAATATTTCGAGCAAACATGGAACTTGCTGACAAGATTGAAGAGTCAGCTGATGACATCACAGCAGCAGATACTGCACCAAGGCCAAAGAAAGAAATATAGACAGGACAAAGATATTGAAGCACAATTGGTAAAATCATATCTGCTTCTTTTCTGTCCGTGGGGTCTGGTAAACCATACATAGTCCTGTTCCAATCTGTAATATAAATATATATATACATATAAATGTAGAGGATACATATTGACTTCTTTGCCTTTGTGAATAATCAGTGATCAGTGCATAATGTGACGTTCATTCATGCTCATTGAGTCTATGCAAACCTTGCCAATTTGAGTTCAGATGATTGCAGCAAATCCAAACCAGCTGTTCTGCTTTGCAGGGGGTTTGTACCACCTGAGGTTCAGTAGGAGGGGTGGGCTCATTTAAGCCTGAACAATCCAACTATAGCTGGCTACATTTTCTGATTTCACAGAGAAATTAATGGGTTGTGCTACTGTCTTCCCAACCTCTAACCTCTGCACCCAAAAGATCTCTTTCTTTTTATTTATATGTTTTGATGCAAGAGCCCTCAAACCTCCATGCCTTTCTGGTAGCTTTTGGACAGTGGTGTAACCTACTGTCCTCATCTGATTCTTTGAAATCAGTGTGCTGGACTATCCCCCTCAACCATGAGGCCCATCCTAGGAAAGGTCTTCTGCTTCCAATCCTCCCAATCATTAGAAGCATCACAAGAAACAGATTCTTAGTGCTGCAGATCACAGTTCTGCACCACTCTTTTTCTCTGGGTGTCACATCAGGATAACTAAAACCAAGAAAACTGTCTTCCTCTGTACAGCACAGCAAGGGGTGTTAAGACCTCAGACTTCCCTAGAAAACGGTGCCACAAAAGGAGCAACCACCTTTCCTCTTGTTGTGTTGCTGAATAGTAGTAGAAGGAAGAAATGCCCCAAGATGTCAGTGACTGCCAAACACACGGTGCCTTTACCTACTTACTTTACCCCTGCCCAGGTGTTTGGAGCAGGAAATATCTTTTTGTTATGCTTGCATAGTGCCGAACAAAATTGACCCCATGACCCATGCCTGAAGCTCCTAGGCAATATAAAGGCAAATAATAAATGGCTAATATCAGGATGTAACTCAAACTAAAATATGGTAGCAAGTCTGCAAACACTGAGGAGAGGCAAAATAGTGGCAGCCACAGGAACAGAATTCCGGTTGTACTAGCACAGGGTTCTGCCACTTGCACAGTAGTACAGTCTCCGTTAGACAATATTGACAGAATGTCTATGACATATACACCTCATCTGCTCTGATTCCATTCGACAGAAGGTCGTTTTAGACATTTGCAATAGACAGATCATGAGCATATTCAAAATATATTAAATATTTATAGCATTAGACTGAACTGTGGGATACTCTGAGTCAGAAGAATGTTCTATACAGGCAGTCCCCAACTTACGTGGATCCTACTTATGTCGGATCCGCACTTACGAACGGGGCTTTTCTCACCCCGGAACTCATGGGCGGCGGGTCGCCGCCCGTGTCCTCCGGGGCAAGAAAAGCTTCTCCCGTTCTCCCTGGTCTGCTGGGGGGGGTCCAGCGGCTTTGCTGGACCCCCCAGCAGACCAGGAGGACAGGAGCAAAGCCTTGGAGCACGCCCGCAGGGGGACAGCTCAAGCACGCCCGGGCTGTCCCGCTGCGGGTGTGCTCCGTGGCTTTGCTCTCCGTCTCCCTGGTCTGCAGGAAGACGGGGAGCAAAACCTTGGAGCACGCCCGCAGCGGGACAGCCTGGGTGCGCTTGAGCTGTCCTCCTGCGGGCGTGCTCCGCGGCTTTGCTCCCCATCTCCCGACCAGCAGACCAGGGAGATAAGGAGTAAAGCCTCGGAGCATGCCCGCAGCGGGACAGCCCGGGCGCGCTTGAGCTGTCCCCCTGCGGGCGTACCCCGCGGCTTTGCCCCCCGCCTCCCACCCACCAGAAC